AGAGAGAGAGAGAGAGAGAGAGAGAGAGAGTGGAGGGAACAGAGAAAATAGAGGAACAGTAAGAGAAACAGTTTAAAACAGTAAATAATGATAATTGATATTATAAAGTTATGTTAAAATACAAACTTAATAGCGAATTAATTAAGATCAACTAAAATTCAATTTAGAAATAAGTCGAATAGTAAAAATTGGATTTAAAGTTACAAAAGTTGAAAGCAGTGAGAAAATATGTTGTTTATGAAATAAATATGCAAAAACATATTATGTAAATTGAATCAGTTTATAGAGCAGGTTTCTGCATATTTATTTTACAAACAATATACTTCTTCAACTTTAAATCCATTGTTTTAAACTTTTGTAACTTTGCATTTATTGTTACTATTCATTTTATTTGTAAATAGAATTTTAATTTATCTTAATTAATTGTTATTACAAATTTTTTAGAGCATATAGTTTTTAAGATAATATTAACATTTATATGATTATAATTCATTTTTCCTCCAGTTATGTGTATTTTACTTATCTTTTAATTTGTTATTCTCTTTATAATAATTAATTTATTTTTAAGTGTAGAAATATAAAAAGTAATCTCAAAATGAATACAAAATATTTTAGAGTATCTTGTAAAATATTGAATCTTTACCTTAGCTTTAATATGCGTATGCAATTGTGTTTTGATTTTGAATCGCAAACTGATTCAACATCGATTCTATTTGAAAATTAATTAGCTAATTATTAACAAAGAGCTATAATGAGTCACTCAATTCTATACAATATCCTCAGCTGATTTGACAATTTATTAATGACCTGATTTAGTAATCTAGTTGACTGCCATATGATTATCATAATCTGATATTAATAATATATATTATTATAACCCATGCTTTATGTAAATTTCTCTTGCTCTTTATAAATAATAATTTATAGCCAAGTAATAGTAAATTATAATTATTAAAATATACATTTGCCTTCAGTAAATATATTATTATTAATTTTAATCTTAATATATTATACAAAGGTTACATTTCTGTATAATTATTAGATAAACAAAGAAATAAATATCATATTAGTTTCAAACTTAAATACAATTGCAAATACATTTGAGAAAAATTTTTTACACTACATTATTGAACAAATGTGTTTGTAAAAATTAATTATGTACATTTTTTTATGTTTCAGGTCACTGCGAGTAAAACTTAAGGGAACTAATATTCAAAATTTAATTAATTATTAAATTGTCGCAGTTGCGCAAAGTTATAGTAGATAGAAAAAAAAAGAAATATAAAATGTTTGCGAATTAAGATTTACAAAATGAGAGACATGATAAGAATTATAACACTGAAGACTAACTTTTTTGAGAATTAATTTATATTTGAACAAGTAAATTGTTATCAATTATTCTTGCTATTATTGAGTGTATAAACAAAATGCTAAAAGACGTTCTGGATTGAGCCTATGCCAACATTGTTCAATTCGAGAGGTCCCAGGAAAGCGAAAGGACTAATCGAAGTCATGACTTACATAAACGGTAAGATTTATAATTTTACAAATCAAACATTATGAAACATGATATAATTATTACAATGATATCAAACATTAGAAAACAGAAGAGAATTATTAATCTCATTACTATTGTTTATAATCAAATTATTACTGTTTTAACAATTTAACTGCCAAATTTGATGTAAAGTTGAAAGATTAATCTTTGTTTTGAATAATATTCTTACAATTTTATTTAAAATAAATTTTTCAAGATATATGTACAATATATCAGAGTAATCAGGAAGCAATTAAGTTTAAACTTTTTGATGTCAGATTTCATTTATATCTTTTGAAAAATATTTTCGCACAACTTTTGATTCGTAAATCAGCAAAATGGATTCGCGGCAAGATGACCGCGTCGTTGATAAGGAAGAGAAATTATCGGGGCGAGTGACGGAGCCGAAACAGCTTATCTCCTTTTTCCCCGCCACGTGGATCACGAGGAAAACGTGGCATCGTTACACAACGTTGAATTTCCTTCTCCTCTCCAGGCCGATAAGTACTGATTTCCATAATGGCTCCACGTACGAGTGCACTCACTTATCCCCTACCCTTTCCAGCACTTCTCTCAACCCCCGACCCACCCCTTCTCACCAACCGTTCATATATATAGTATATACATATATATGTTCCTTCTCTATCCCCTCATAGAAACTTCGAGTCTCCGTAATTTTATCTCATAATGTGAATTCAAGACTCGATAATCGCATCGAGACGTGATTAATTTTTTGATTTACGCTCTCTATGTACGCCAAAACGTTGCGACGTTTTTGTAATAGTGCCAAGAATTTCACTGATGGAGTTCGGAAATATTTCAAGTTTTCAACGCATTCTAGTTAATTAATTTTTTAAAATTATTTAATGGCTGATTGCGATGGATTTTTTATACACATATCTTTACATATTTCTTAAACTCGAAATTAAAATTATTCCCTTCTCTTCATTTATATCCTTAAAATACAATAAATGAATGAATTATCTTTCAAACTGCTTACTTTTCGATTATCTTATTTTAGTACTCATAACATAAAGTAGATTAAATTACTATTTATATATTTTCAATTGTTGATCTTATTACATTTTCCATATTATCATTTCTTATTAGATAGAAATTAAATACTGAATATTAATACTTTTTTTTTATTATAAAATTAATAGTAAATAGATATATTAAAGTGAGTATTTATGTAAAGCTGTAGAGAGATATTAAACAGAGATTAATTAAATTTACTTCAAGATATTTAATTCTGTTAAAATATGGCAAACGTACGATGTCTACAGAAAGTGTTTCTCCGCGCTTATCGAGTCTAAAACTTTCTCCTTCTCGCGCTTATCCATCGCATTCAGCTCTTGTCGCTATTCCCTTCGGCCATTTTACTTTATCTTTCATCAAAGAGATGCAGATGAAACTTTCTGTCGCAAGATTAGAATTCGCTAATAACCGAGGAACGAAAAAGGTGGAGTTACTCGTGTATCCTTGGAGAAAACCATCCTCAGAATATCGATTACCTATCACATTGAGATGTATACTCGGTTATTCGTTCTATTTTCTTTTTTTTTTAATATCATTGTCATTTTCCAATAGAATCGATGTAACCGCGGTGCGTATTAATTAAATATTGATATAGTTAATTGAACGGGCACGTTAAATAAATACGCCACCAAACCAGCAACGAGAACCGCCACGTCCTGGAAATTAAAACTAACAAAAACACGAAATTAATTGATGCGATCGAGCGAGCAATCGCGTGCAAAATAATTCACGATCGCAATAAAGTGCAACTTCAATTGTTTTAACATTACTTATAACAATTTTAAATTGATATTAATTACTATTATTATTGGAATAGTGTTGATGAGAGAATCATTTTGTCGTCTTCTTATTTGTATCGTAGCTTACTATTAACTTCAACTTGTGTCAGTATTAAATTTAGAATCAGTATCAAGTATTATCAGTATCAAATTTAATAAACTTGTGTCATATTAATACAGGATATATTAATATTAAAAGTTAACGACGTTTAAAAAAATAAATTATTTATTTCCGTTCATAGAATTTATTTTTACTGATAGAAAAGATTTTTCCAATGTTATTATTCTTCGATCTATTATAAAATTAGGATCGGTTTATTCATTGCTGAAAGAGGAATATCTTTATCCTTTAAAGTAAATATTTTCAAGTCTAGAATAAAATGATCAAGCTTATTAGTTTCGCGCCAAATACTATGGCTAGCCATTGTGCGTTATAATATTGGATAAAGATTTATTCAAACATAAGATACATAAACTTAAATTTATATATATTACTCTTGTCTCAAGATAATAAGTGAATCTTGTTTAATGGAGGCAGAAGAATAAAAATTATTGATCTCATTTTATAGTAATATTTTATTTTTATAGTAGAGGAGACCGGGGACAACAGTAACATCGTTTATATTTCTAAAACTATAATAGATGCGTGTATATGGCTGTATGATAAAATTCTGTAGACAGATCGGCATTGAATCGTTTGTTACATGCTAGTTCTCGTGGAACATGCATAAGTGCACAAAATCTAAAATATTTTTTTCTTCACAACGAAGGTACAATATATTATCTCAATATGTTTTAATAATTATCTACGTTGATGGTTTGCACATTTGAGTTGCTTTTTATCTAGGTTTTATTTGAAAAATTTACTATAAATCAATAAAATACCATTAGGGAACAATAATAACATCGATGCCTGGAGTCAATTGTAACGTTACAATTGTCCAAACTTACTTGATTTTATTTTAGAATTATTGACAGTACAATGTTATTTGTATTTTTCTTCATAGAATGCTGTTAACGAGAAAACGCAAGACAAATAAGAGAAAAATTATATAAAAGAAGTGTCTTTATACAAACAAACATTTAAAGAGGTTATAAAGGATCGGTTATTTCGTGCAGCTGCAAGAAAAAGTACGACTTATATAGTTGTGTTATGTACTTTTGGCAAATGTGGTACAGTTATCTTCCCTCTATTGTTACAATCGTCCATCCGGGGTTGAGACGTTGTAACAAAATTCCTCACAGTCTTTAAACAAACATAACTTTTTTTCTAGTTACATAAAAAAAATTAAACTGAAGAAAATTTTGTAGTTAAATAAATTCTACGTGTAAAGATATATATTTTTTAAATGTAAATATTATATTTTAACTGTTATAACACTTCAAAATCAAAATGTAACTTCCCAGGTCTCCCCTATGTAAGATTACGATAAGGTTAAGCATTTTAAGAATAATTTTTATCTCGTTATCTCGGAAATCTTTTTTTAGGAGATAGACTATTTATATAAATTGCAATTATTGTGAGTTTTAAAACAGTTTTGTTGATAGTAAGAACAAAATGCTGTAAATAAATAATTATTAAGCATTAATTTTTATTAATAATATTTAATAATATCACCAAGTATTAATTCTAAAAATAAAGACATAAAATTGGAGTATTTGATATGCGCAATTTATAATCAATGAATCTTTGAAGCTCTATGTGTAATATTTTCAGAGAAATCTATTGGGATGAGGGAGACTCGACGGCGTTGTAATTAATCGTGCAGGCGTAAATGAGAGACGATCGTTGCGGGACGCGGAGGTGATCCATAGATCGTGTCGGGCGCGATCAGTTGCGGTAGCGCAGGCGAGGCGGGGGAGGGTGGCAAGATGGAACTCTTCCTGATCCTCGTTTGCCTGATCGCGCCACCCGCCCTCTCGCTCTCCATCAAGAGTAAGCTCAACCCACGGATCGTCCAGACGCGCTACGGCGAGGTGCAGGGCATCACGAGGTCCTTCGAGTATGCCAAATTCCTCAAGCCGATTGACGTATACCTCGGAATACCCTACGCCACACCGCCAGTCGGTAGTAACCGCTTTTCCCCAACGAGAGCACCGAGTCCTTGGGAAGGAGTCAGGTAAAACGAAGATCTTATCTTCTTTGAAGATAAGAAACGGCATCGTTTTAATCGTGGTGACGATTTAATTATACAATAGATTCAGTTCCTAATTATGGATCGAGTTACAAAGTTAAATACTTTACAGATATACATATAAATAAATAGTTACATGAATATTGTTTTTCGAAACTTTGAGGTTTTCTTTTATTATAAACTATGCAGAAAAGTCATGTCAAGGGTAATCAATTTTTATTTTTATGTGTAAAGTCGGTCCATCTCTCTTTCCAGTTAAAAGCAAATACTTTCAAATTTTATAACAAGCATGATCTTCTCGAAATACTTCAGATGCCGCGCAATCTTCTTAACTCGAAGTGTCTGAGAATATCGCAGAATATACAACATTCTAAAATTATGCCGAGATATTCCTTGGCAAATCTTTCGAATGCCGATGTTACATCGCTATCAAATCTATTTACAATTACATAACTATCAAAAATATTTTTAATTTTTTAATAAAAAGTAGTAGCAATGTTGAATTGATTTATTTTTATTTGATTTAATGAGAAAAATATTATAATTATTTATTTAATTAATGTCAGAAATTAATGCAGAAGAAGGTACTGCATATATTTTCAAGCTATCAATTTAGATATAATATTATGTTATAGTTAAGATACCTTGCAAGATTACATCTTATAGTTAAGATACCTTGTAGTTTAATGTATATGCGTCCCGAAATATATTCTCGTCGACAATGTTCGTCCTTATTGAACATGGCGACGCGTATTCTATACGAAACTTTGAGTTTACCATTCAGTTCGTTGTAACGCACGAACGATTTCCGATTTCCTCTGCAGATTATCGGACTCGGTGGGTCCAGTCTGCCCCCAAAAGCTGCCGGACATCGCAAACGAACAGGAAGCGCTCGAGCGAATGCCTAAGGGTAGATTAGAGTATCTGAAGAGATTGTTGCCTCATCTGCGTAACCAGAGCGAGGACTGCCTCTATCTGAATATCTACGCACCTGCAATGGGTGAGTGAACGTAAACCCTTTAGCGATTCAATCGCACGAGCAACTTTGTAACCATCATGCGCGATTAGGTCGCTATCTTTTATTATAAATAAAATTTTGAAGTATCTGAATTCCAATAATAAATAAGATAACTAAATAACTCGAATATCACAAAAAACTGATGATGATTTAGTACTCATAATGATTTCCTAGAAGAAAAAGAATCTACAACTCCTATGATGAAACATTAAACTCTTTTTTTCATCCTTTACTTGAAGAAATTCAATTTAATACTGGAAATATTATTTATTTCGAGTATTGAAGCAAAAGTGCTTTTAATACTAAAAGTAAGTAATTAATCACCACTTTCCAGTATTAAATTCCTATATTTAACAAGGAATACTTATACTACAATATTATTTTGTTATTAAAATTAATTTTTTGATGGCTAAATAAACTTTTCCTTTAAATAAAAAAAAAAAATAACATCCTTCCATAAACAGATTATGTATATTGAGCTTAAAATGTGTATTGATTGTGAGACGTTATCGAACTATATTGAAAGGAAGTGTAGTTAAACCGATATATCAAGTATCAAAACTTCTTTATATATCGCATACGTTCTCTGCTCTTCGCAGTCGCAACCAGAGACGATGCTCTTGACACTACCTCAAGGGAAGAACTTTGTAACGCTATTTTGCAGAATTGCATTCACTTCAGTAGCGTATAAAGTCCTAAGTTTCTTCAGATTTTCAAATAGTGAAAAGATAATAAAAAATGTTCAATTCAGACTTAATTTAGAATACTTGAATGACAAAACTTTTTTTTTTGAGACTGATAAAATTCAAGTTTAATTGTATTGAAAAGAATGATTAAAAAATAAAATAATTCATCTTTTATTCTCTTTTGTTCTCTTATTTCTCAATGTCAAATAATTTAACAATGATCGCTTTTTAGCAATTAGCGTTGTTAAAAATGAATTCTTTAGCGAATAAATTATTTTGGCGCGTGGATATACATAATGAGTCCAATCCGTCAACTCTCTGGAAAAAACGGAATTTTAGATGGGCATTAGCAGATGAAGTAATCCTTACTGGTCGTCGAGCCAGTAGCGTTGAACGAATGGCGCGGAAATCTACGAGTGGTTGGGGGTAAACGGAAGGGCGGGAAATGTGGGAAAAGCCTGAGGCAGGAAAAGCCGCTCCCGGCAAAGCAGGACGTTTTGTTCGTTACAGAGTGTCCCGATTAAAAAACGATTTTTAAGATGATTCACTGGCGGTCCAAATTGAATCGCTAATCTAAGTTTGAGGGAACTTTTCGCAGAGTTGGGGAAGGCCATGTGAATTATGGCGGCCGGGAATAGATGTCATTGACCTCCGTGCGATCCCAATATAGGGGCGGCTCGCGCGGATGGTCTGAAACTGAACTTCTCCGGGATTGTGCAAGTTATTGAGTTTCAGCTGGACCAACGTCTCGTTGAGAAGACACGCGGAACATTCCGAATAGATCGGAGATTAGAGCTCACGTGATGTGTAATTACTAAAGTCGGAATGATGTAATTGGAAAATCTTTTTTAAAGAGGAAACATCCATTTCGGAGCTCTTTTTCAAAATTATGTCTTTTCATTATCCCTGTGGATCTTATTATATTGAACAATTTTTTACACATACACACGCGCGAGCGATATATGCTAGTTCGATCAATATATGCGTACATAGAATTAGTTATATAGATATTCTCGTAAAGAAATTTTCTTAGAATAAAGATGACGCGGGGTGGTCACATTTGCCGTTCAATTTCCGGCTGTGAGATGTTGAGACGCATGAAACAGCTTGCAAGCAAGGGGAAAAGCGAAATTTTCTATTTCGCCCGAGAAAATTCAATGAAATACGATTATTGAAACACCATTCACTCTGGCCGACATACGTGGAGACATAAAAAGCCTTCCCTCAAGGTAAGGAAAAGGCCGAAGGAGAAAGTTTGGCGAGAGATATAAGGGCGAGAAAGAGCTTAGGTGACGGCAATAAAAAGGGTTGAAGATGAAGAGGCACAACAGCAAAGAAATATATTGCGCGTACCTGCCACGGTGTTCGACATTGCCTCCATGGTTGGAAACTGAAGAGAATGACGCGAAGAGATTTATCAAATATTTCTCATTTTTCTGACGCGCGCGCCATTGACACATGGCTCAAAATTGCTTGTTGAAATCTCTGCGCCATTACGAACTGCGTGAAACTTTCGTGAGATTATAGTGTGAACTCTAATAGATCTGTAAATCCTTCACAGTCTTTGTCGTTTGAAATTGAAGAAGTTGCTAGAATTTCTTAGTATTTAGTAAGTTCAGATTATCTTACTTGCTTGCAATGTCGAAATATAGGAATATTTCAAGCATTCGTAAATTCATGTTGAAGATGCAAATTAATCTCTTTCTTTATTAAATATTTAATAAACTTTGTTACTATTCGTAATTTTATCATGCATTTTAAATCTTTACTAAACCATGACGAGTCTTCCTCCAAATGAAACATTCCCGAAAGTTAAAAAAATAATCGAGTATTAAATTTAACGTTAGCTGAGAAGTCAAGTAAATTAAAAAAAGAAAAATTGAATTTTCTACAAGAATAGTAATAAGAAATTTTATGAACGGAAGTATAATTAATTAGTGCAACAATTTATTTTTTTAATTTAAAAAACCACATTTTTATATTAATCACCTCTCACGGCACTAATTTTAAATTGATTTTTCTTTTTTAATTTATTTGACTTTTTCGTCAACGTCAAATATGACAATTAGTTATCATTTTAATTAGTTATCATTTGAATTATTAGTTTTCGATTGTTATTTTATATTTAAAAGTCCTTAGATTTTAATTTATATTGTTTCTTTTATTTGTGTGTGTGTGTGTTACAATTGATTATGATAATAGCAACCCATTTTATGTTTGATAATAACTTGCACAGTAATTCGAAATTTTGAATCGCAACTTCACAATCTTGGAAAGTGCAATTTTCAGACAACCCTGAAAGGGATACGTTTCCTTCGACGCGGTATTGTCTTCCGGATTCTTACGTAATGGAAATTTCTATCGAAAGTTTGGATCCGGTTAATGCATGTTGTCGGCACTTCTTCTCCTCTGACTTGGGAGGGAAAGTTTCCGTTTTCTTTGGAAGACTCGCAATTACACGGCCGCCTGCACTCACAATTCTGGATAGGTAAAGCCAGTATCGAACGTATGGCAAAAGCGGAAGCAGGAGAAGAAGAAGGCGACGAGTTTTCGAGGCGCGAAAACTCGTCGCCTTCCTTTTCCTCCGCTAATAATCGAATCCACCAAGTTCGCGGAATTTGTTTCAACTCTCGGAATACTTTGGAATAAGGACCCTCATCTCTTCGTGATTCACGAATCGCTAGCAAAAGAATGCCTCCTCCATCGTTTTAAGCGAAAGTACGGCTTGGGAAATGATTTGTTCGTCTCGCACGAAAGATAAAGTGTCTCTCTTTCCTGCAAGTTTTCATTGAGATTCATAGCTTCAAGAGTGACTTTCAAAAATATCGATACATTCGATGTAATTTGATTATGCAATCTGTTGTCACAAATTGATAATTCATGAAAAAAATGTTATTAATACTAGTAAATGTGTATAATTCGATCGAATGTGTGAAAATTTTAGAAAAATGATTCGCGACGCGTTCTGAAAATAATTTTTAGATATTTCACGGCACATTTACGGAAATAACTTTAGGACATTATACCCGCGTTAGCTTGCGACGGAGCGACAGGAAATTTAATGTGGCAAGCCGAGGGAAATCGCACGATCCTTGCACATCCTTCCCCTTTTCATGAAAGAGAACGTCACGAGTGCAGAGTGCGCATTCGCTCAACTTCCGGCTCGAAAAGGCATTACTAATAGCTCTCGTCGCTGTGATTAATGGCGTTGGAGTGCTGCTCCGTTTAGTCGTTTTATTAATTACGCCGGATAACGAAGGTCACCGTCTCTGCACGAGACTGTCATTTATTATACATGACGTCACGATTGGGCAACCAAGTATGTTTATTGGCACGTATACATACAAATGTGAACAATTCAATAATTACATATCAGGCAACAAAGACTCAGCTAAAAGTATCAGCTAAAGAATTAGATAAAAATTCAATATCAGGCAAAAAATTTTGATACGCTCTAAAATCAAACTACAAAAATAATTTAGCTAATACTATACGGAGAGAATTTTTTCTTAGAGTTTACCCTGAAAATATGATATGATAATACAATGTTGTCGTGGAACAACATTGTATTTCGAAGAATTTTAATGTAAATCTCTCTCATTCATTAATAAAACTACAAAAGTATAAAATAAGTTTGATTAATTTTATTGAAGTGTATGGTAAAAATCTTTAAAATATTGTATTATATTAACCATATTTTGTTGCAATTTTAAATAAATAACTTTGAAAGTAAAGATCCAAATGAACTTTTGCATAAATATTTATTGGAATTTTATTAGTATATATAAAAAATTCGATTTAATTCATAATACTATTTCTTTATCGAATTTAGCAAATAAGTACTACAAAATAAGATTTTATATAACAAGCAAATTAAATAAACCAATAGGAGAATCTTGCTCAAATTTTATACAGACTCACACGTAAAATAATAATAAAATAAATCTATGATGTTTTTATATTGTTTCTCATGCTTTGAGAATAATAAATAATAAGTAATGATAAGATTACAAAAGCTCGTGGAAAAATTCTGAAAATTGTGTGTATTATACACTAATTATACTCAATTTTTTAAAATAGATGAAAGTTATAATGCTATTTTTTTCTTACGTAGAAAAATAAACGAAATCTTTTGCTAATATGAGACTGCCATGTTTAATTTTACATTTAGGAGATTAAAAACGTCTGAGCGGCTTTGAAAGATTTCCTTTGCCATCTGCTCATGTCGAAAGGGCAGTGTAATAAGAAAGAATATCTAGGACCATTCTTCTGAAAGTCTGGGCCGTTTCGTGATAC